GGGGGGGCAAATGCAACATTGTGTCAAACCCTGAAGATACACTTATAAACCTACACATATGCATGCTTTCCTTCTTTCAAGTCCAAAACCAGGCAGCCAAGGAGAAGGGTTGTACAAGAAATGCAATCGCTAATAGTCATTGATTGCTTTATTAAAAGCAGCAGGGTTTTAGGGGCTCACTAGTGATCTTCTACAGCCAGGCCGAGTAAATGTTTAGCTCAATTCTCCTAGAGTGGTTTTGCATGTGACCCAAAAAGAAAAAAGGATTTACACTATATACTGGAAAGTTTTTGCGATGCATAAAGGCACTTCAGGAGTTTAATTACCAGAGTTTATTCCCCTTGGGGGTAAAATATCGATGATCACTTTTTAAAAAAAGGTAACCAAATTCCTGCAGTGACCACTCAATGAAACATCTCATAGGGGTGGCATTACAGACATTAAGATACTGATATAGGGTCATTGCGTACGGAACCATTTCATGACTAGCCGCAGTAAACCAATATTTAAAACAAAACAAATCTAAAATCCTGCTGCATGGAGTTAAAATCATTGATTATTATTCATCAACATTATAAGTGGCCTTTTCTGCATAGAGAAGACAGGTTTAATTTTAAGACCAGAAGGAAAAAACACATCTGAAAAGACCTCACTGAGCACTTGCCAGATAAGGAAGGTGGCACCTATATAGCCGCCAGACTCCGTTCTTGCATGCCTTTAACATAACAGGTAGAGGAGAAAAGATCACCAAGAGATCAAGCTGAACAGATGTTCTGGGGAAATTCCAACTACAAATGCTCTCTTCTTTTCCTTCATATTTTCTGCTCTATATGCATTCTCAGAAGACTTTACATACCCTAACATCAAGAAAGCATTATTATTTGGTACAATGTGTATTTATGGATGTACATGAACAGTATATATATTATCCGGATCATGTTGTGCTATGTACAGGTCTGTACAATTCTTCCTGAAGTTTAAAGCAGTTCTTTAGATTTTGAAATGCGAAAATCACCTTTAAGTTGGCACTTATTAGGCTCTTGTCAGCATTGATAACTGGCATGTTTTATTGCAACCCCGATGCCAGCCAGCGTTTGCCAACTTATTACAACAAAAAGTCCAGCAAAAGGTGGGTAGAGTGCAGGAAAAACAGTGCCTTGTTTCTCAAATGGAGACCTTAAAAACAAAAACGACACATATATTTGTAACATTATACTGTAGTGTACAATTTGAAACAAAGAAAATGAGTGGAAAATTTATGAACGTGTTTACGACAAAATTCTAGGCGCAAAGACCAAAATGTCATGCCAACTAACTGCAAAGTTTTATTTTTGTTATGCGCCTGTTTTGTAGATGTTCTTGTTTGCGACTCACTGCACATGTTTTGTGACATTTCACATAATATTGCAACTGCAGAGTATTTGTGCCATTAAAAAGACCGCCAAACTGTTGTACATCCTAGGAGGTTCTCCTGAGCACTTGAGGTATTGCAAAGATAATTCACCTTCACATCCTCAAGTCAGGTGAGAACTTCAGGACTCACCTGACTTGAGGGGGGGGGGGGGTGTTTTTTTTTTT